AATCTATCAGCAAGAGAAGAATATTTAACTATTTTTTTCATATCTGCGTCCCGGGCGACGGATCCTGGCTCAACCGCGGACCTGATCAAATTACCGACCGAAAATGTATCCGCACAGGTCACATCCCAAATCAACGACTTCCCCATTTTAAAAGGGAAAATGGTAATGCCATTCGGCCGCTTTCCATCACCACGGTCGAAGTCTGTCACGTAATTTCAGTTAACAGTATGAAAATAAGGTTTATTATTATTAGTTACTTTTTTAATAAATTCATTTTGATTTTGCCTTGAAAATGTCCACATTGGACGAAACGCGTCGACAACTATTACAGTTTTCCTATTGTCTTTTACATTTATAAATATTGTCTTTTTCTACAGGTTAATTCTGAGAAATCTTTCATATATTTTTATGTAAACGCTACATTTTCAGTAACTACAGTGCATTTGATTTTATTTTTCAGTCTTTCTACAGTCTCCTCTTACGACCATAACATATTGCTAAATGAATATTTTTATGAGAAACACTATATTTTGTTTTCGCCTTTAACACCCGAGTAGACGTTTTGAGATTACCAAAAGGGCTGGAGATTTGATTCAGGTCAAGAGAATCATGGAAATAGGAAAATATCAGTTTCGCAAAGGCATGCTATACTATCTGGTTTACGCATAATTGGTAAAGAAAGTTCAACTTTCAAAAAGACCAAAACACACTTCTAAATTACGTCAAAATTACCCCGAGTAAATAAAAAAAAGAAACATTTTTTTGGAAATTATGCTCGGTCGCTTAAATCTCCAGACCTCTCTCACATTGAATTAGTATGGCATAAATTGGATAGGAAAATTCGAAGAGAATACCCAATTAGTGAGCGTGAGACTTTTCAGTACTTGGAGAATGATTGGGTAAGTCTGCTACGTTTTTTTCAAAAACTGTTGGAAAGAATGCCAGGAATTTGTTAAAGCAGGTGGTGGTTTTATTGACAAAAACAAAATATGATGCTGTTTTATGGCAGTTTGTTTTATAGTTAAGAATAAAATCAGATGCAGTGTAGTTACTGAAATTGTATCGTTTAATTTAAAAAAATACAAAAATATCTCATTTTAAGGTATTTTAAAGAAATGCAGACTGGTCCTAAACTTTTTGCTTGTAGTATATATATATATATATATATATATATATATATATTCCAGTCGAATCCATTACATCCACTAACGTGCCAATACCCTTGGGAAAGGTATGACTCCTCTTCTTCTCCCTCCAGCTATGGGTAAATAGCAGGGCAGACTGGGTTCTATAGCCTATGATGGCAACTGGTCTGGGACAACTCTGAATTCAAAACCTGCGGAGGGTCATTTGGGAACCTTGTGACATATAGTGCACCAGGTCTCTGTATTTGGCTCTTCAAAAAGTGTGGATGGTTCTGCACAAAGCCATCACCACTCCGCCCCGGGTATGACGATAAACCACATCCGCATCATGGGTAAGACGATAAACTACGTCCAACAGCAAGGCCTCTGATCAGGAGGTTTTGCGGAGCTTGGAACCACCTCTTAATTGCTGGTGTTCCCAGGTCCACTCTGACCAGGGGTGTTAGCACCAGTTAGGGTCCCATCTATGGGCAAATAGTTAACCCGGAAACTGAGGTAAAAAGCATTATGAAAGTGTAAAAATAGGTTTTAATACCAGAAATACTTTGTAAAAAATTATTACCAGGAATACATTTTTGAAGAAAAAAACTATTACCAGCAATATATTTTTGGAAAAAAATGTTACCATCAATACATTTTTGAGGAAGAAAATATTAGCAGAAATAGATTTTTGACAAAACAAAATATTACCAGGGAAAAAAAAGTTGTCGGCATTAAATAACCCATTGAGGTTGATGTGCCGTAAAACAAACCAAACCACTATAATCAAATCCTATGTGCTGGTGTCTGGGCTATCGATTCATAGGAACTGAGCTGCTTGACCCTCGTACGTTGAATCCGATGGGGAGAGTCCACCATATATATATATATATATATATATATATATATATATATATGTGTGTGTGTGTGTGTGTGTGTGTGTGTGTGTGTGTGTGTGTGTGTGTGTGTGTGTCTAGTGTGAGCTTGAGTCCCAATAGACGTTCAAAGAAAGAAGCCTCCTTGAAAGAAGACCCACTCATCAAGACATGTAAAAAATCGGGTTTCGTTCGGTCCTACTCTAAGATGAATATGTATCAACAACGAACACTCTTGCAAACCATTTTCTTGCGTAGAGGATATACGAGATGTGACCTTCAAGATTTGCAAAATTAAACCCCAAAAGTTCACGGTAAAAAAGAATATATGAGAAAATTAGGGTCGTTTTCAGTATGGACACAACATGAAAATGTTAAGGAAAATGGGAACAGAAAAGACACTTACGCTTAGGATCAGAAAAAGATACATTTATGGGACACGTAATGAAGAAAGGCGGCTTGCAGAATTTCCCACTGTCTTGAAGGCAAGAGGGACAGAGTAAAACAGCAAGTAACATAAGACACAAAGGGTTAGTGATTGTTGCAGAATAAGAAAGAGAAAATCATTATAAAGGAGGGAGAACAAAAAAAAAAGAAGAGGAATCAAGAAGACAGTAGATAATGATTGACATTGCATTTAAATTTGTTTTCTAATCATTTCACCCCATGCAAGGCAGTAAAGTCACTAAGACACAAGGGGTTACCGAGTGCGAAATAATAAGAAAAAGAGAAATATTATTAAGGAATGAGAACAATAGAAGAGTAATCACGAAGACAGTAGATAATGATTGACAATGCATTTAAATTTGTTTTCTAATCCTTTCTCCCCATGCAAGGCAGTAAAGTCACTAAGACCCAAAAGGTTACTGAGTGTGAAAGAATAAGAAAATAGAGAAACATTATTAAGGAGCGATAACAATAGAAGAGTAATCACGAAGACAGTAGATAATGATTGACATTGCATTTAAATTTTTAAAGATCAAAGTTGGTTGGGAAGCAAGAAGCCGGAACAGAGCTCCACAAGCGAGAAGTGCGAGAAACGAAACTTTTAGCTTTTACGGTTACATCCTACCATTTCAACTGAAAAATGGTGAGACCCTGCTGCCAATCTAGTACTGCGCTCAAACTCAGAGTGTCTAGGCACCATAGAGCAACGCTCATCAGAACAATTACCAATAAAATTATTTATAGAAAAGACACAAGGAAGCAAAGTTACGGCGGTGGGAACGTGATTGAAGCAGAGATTCCAGATAAAACGTGACTGAAACAGAGATTCCAGATAAAACGTGATTGAAGCCGAGATTCCAGATAAAACGTGATTGAAGCCGAGATTCCAGATAAAACGTGATTGAAGCAGAGATTCCAGATAAAACGTGATTGAAGCTAAGATTCCAGATAAAACGTGATTGAAGCCGAGATTACAGATAAAACGTGATTGAAGCCGAGATTACAGATAAAACGTGATTGAAGCAGAGATTCCAGATAAAACGTGATTGAAGCAGAGATTCCAGATAAAACGTGATTGAAGCCGAGATTCCAGATAAAACGTGATTGAAGCAGAGATTCCAGATAAAACGTGATTGAAGCGATTGAGATTCCAGATAAAACGTGATTGAAGCAGAGATTCCAAATAAAACGTGATTGAAGATAAAACTGAGATTCCAGATAAAACGTGATTGAAGCCGAGATTCCAGATAAAACGTGATTGAAGCAGATTCCAGATAACAGATAAAACGTGATTGAAGCAGAGATTCCAGATAAAACGTGATTGAAGCCGAGATTACAGATAAAACGTGATTGAAGCAGAGATTACAGATAAAACGTGATTGAAGCAGAGATGCCAGATAAAACGTGATTGAAGCCGAGATGCCAGATAAAACGTAATTGAAGCAGAGATTCCAGATAAAACGTGACTGAAACAGAAATTCCAAATAAAACGTGATTGAAGCCGAGATTCCAGATAAAACGTGATTGAAGCCGAGATGCCAGATAAAACGTGATTGAAGCCGAGATGCCAGATAAAACGTAATTGAAGCAGAGATTCCAGATAAAACGTGACTGAAACAGAAATTCCAAATAAAACGTGATTGAAGCCGAGATGCCAAATAAAAACCAATATCATTGCAGATTATTCTCTGGATTTTATCAAGAATCTCTAAAATACATAGCAGAGGCACGAGGCCATATGAGGCAGTAGTATTCAAAGCAAGGATGAATGATTGTCTTATAAATATGTAAGATAGACTCTGGCTAGAAATAATGTCTAGCACGGCACAGTGAATCAACTTTTCTTGAAAAGGCACAGGTAAGCTACATTATGGCGGTCGGAATGTAACAGGCCATATTCTTCTTTGAAATTCTAAGCAGGTTTGTGTAGATAAATATCAACAGGGACTGAGGGGACAAACATTGAACTACAATGGATAGGAAAGAGTGGAGAGCTATGATAACCCACGTCTTGAAGTGACACAACACATAAAAGAATAATTTTAGTGGCATGATGAGGTACGGTAGAGTAATGGATAGCCACTCGGATTGCGGAATCGGAGAGCCGAGTTCGAATTCGCATTCCCAAGGGCATTAGCACTTACGGGCTAATATCCTTGGGAAAGGTATGATTGCTCCTCTTCTCCCCCTAGATATGGATAAATAGCAGGACGAACAGGGTTTTTGAGCCTTGGATGGCAACTGGTCTACCACAGAAAGAAATGGCAACCTACTGCCTGTAACGAAAGATACATGATCGCCTACGCGTGTATCACGCATGGCACATAACTAACTGACTGATGTCGATTGATATGTGAAATATCCGGCGAGACACGGAAAATCCCGCTTAGACTGATAGATAGTGACATTAAACAGGTTGTTTTAACTGATCGGTTTATTTAATTCCCTTAACTTTTAGGTCATGCTTCGTATTTCTATCATTAGTTTAGCAAGCGACCATTTAAACTTTATTTTTAGGGTGTCAACGCACACTGGTGACATTGATGGATTCCAGATGAATTAGTCAGCCCCCACCCTCTCTCTCTCTCTCTCTCTCTCTCTCTCTCTCTCTCTCTCTTTGCCCTTTTCAATTCATTTCTCGCCTTTGACTCATTTCATAGTCAAAGCGTGAAATCTGCGGGATAAAAGACAGGTCAAAGTGCAGATAGTTTTATTTTTTTTAATAGCAAGCATATTTCATTTGGATAAGTCGCTTGTCGAGCTTCCTGTAACCGCGAGTTCATTTAGGACAGTTTAAAATGTACAACTTAATCATTTAGCTATTGCCATGTCATGTACATACCTCGTTTCCAATAAGCCCTAATGTGCATGTCCGACAAAAATGACAAATGGTTATTACATTAATAAAAAATGAATTAAATAAAATTTATTGAAATAAAAATACGTGAAATCGTTACAAAGGTTTATATCTTTATCAGAAATAATAGCTAACCAGTAAGTGTAAAAAAATATCGGTTTATATTTTTATTTTTTTATATGGTTATGCTATTTAATGAAATCACACATTATGAAATGGACAAAGTTCGACAATTATTTTAAGACGTTTTTTATGTTTATACGTTCTTTTTATAGATACAAATATTTAAGGTTCCGTATAGGATACAGGTTCGATTCATGTCGGAGGACGCATATTTTCTCTGAAAATTTCTCGGATATTCAGACCGGTAAATGTCGTTAATACTCTTTATTATAAACAGAGCATTTACTTAAATATTTTATCTATAAAAAAGAATGTATAAACATAAAAAAATGTCTTAAAATATTTAATGAAAGTATGAAAGCCAACATTAATTACCTCAACAAAAACGATGATTGATTTAAGTGAAACATTATCTTTAATATACGCTGATTTATTCGGACTAGTGTCCGATCTTTGTTGTTATAGATAAAATATCTGAATTTCGGAGATCAAGAATTATCACTATTATACCCTGATTTATTCGGACTAGAGTCCTCATCTTTATTGTTTTAGGCAAGTCTGATTGAATAAATTACAAACATTATGCCTGCTTATTTTGATCATAATCCTTTCATATTTACGAATATTTTTTCGTATGTCACAATTAAATAAGGCAAGAAATGCACTGTAACAGTGAAAATCAATTTTATTTCCCAAGTACTTTCCATCTCTTTCTGATATCATCATCAACGGTGCAACTGGTAAGGCAAAAAACTATGGATAGCTATCCATTACAAAACTATTTTCTTTTTCCTCATTATTTTCAGTAATAACTTCTAATCCCAGAAATTCAGACAGAAGGCAATAATAACAACAAAGATGAGGACAATAGTCTACATGTAAATAATGATAATGATCATTCCAATAATCCAGAAGCAGAATATATATATATATATATATATATATATATATATATATATATATATATATATATAAATATATAAAAGAAATATGTAGTGGTTCCAACGAGAGAAAAGTATGTATATTAAAAAAGAAGAGGGTGCCGCAAACGTTTTTTTGGTTGTAATGTGGATTTATTGAGAAAAAATATTATACTTTTGTTTTACATAATTTCACGACACGTGTTTTTGGTCTGGTCTCGCAACCGTCTTCAGGTGAAAGTGGAGATTTTTACATATTATTAAAAATAATTAATTTTTCTTCATGTTCAATGTGGAATATTCTCGATATGAGACATTCTGTTTGTGTGTTGGCAATCCGAATTTTCTTTCTAGAATTGTCAATGAAGAGTTCTGCGTGAAGGGTCATAAAACAATTAAGGACAAACCTTAATTGTTTTATGACCCTTCAAGCAGAAAGGGACAATATATATGCTTCTGAAAAATTTGTTTTGGGAAGAAAGTGTGGGTTTGTAAACAGGGACTATTACGGCTAATAATGCAAGACTCTTCGGTAAATCGAATCGAGTTCTCTCAGTCTCTCTCAAACTGTGTGTTTATCTAAAAATACGCTTAAATTCACCTTCTTCCCTGTCGTACGTCAAGAATCCCCGACTGACGCCAATTCAGTCGAGTTTCGATCCTAGCTAGAGGCAAATATGCACTATATATATATATATATATATTGCAATTCGCGCACGTATAGATGACAATATGACAAATAAGTGAAATGCTATTAACATAGAAGAAATAGTAGTAAATGACACTAAAGTTTTATGTAGGACACAGTACAAAGAAAGACTTCAAATTCTGGAGGCTGTTGTAATAAAAGAGAAGCAGCTGACATTAAATAAGGTATCCTCCGCCATAGAGGACCGTATACTAAAATGTGTTTAAAAAAACACGCACACAAAAAAATATTAAGTATCACAGTTTATGTGACGTCCTTTTGAGTGACTTGAAATCGGTTCCATCAAACGTGAGAATGACGGAATTAAAAAAAAAAAAAACAGTTGCGTAACTACACACAGAACAATCCTTGAAAAAAAATGGAGAAAGATCTGAGAGGACTTAGGGAGAAAATAATATAAAATGAAAATAAATATGAACTTTTTAAATTTACCTATAACACGAAACACCTAATTTGGAAATTTGAAAAATGAAATCAAAATTGATGGGCAGAACATATTATTTAACCAAACACATTTGAGAGAATTATTGCTGTCGAAATACACCTTATATATATATATATATATATATATATATATATATATATATATATATATATATATATATATATATATATAGACACACTACAGTTCAAAAGTTTGAAGCCACCCCAGAATTAGCATGGTATGAACTTGGCAGAAGAGTGAAAAGAAAATGAAAAAGAGGCTCTCAGAGCCATTGAAAAAAGAATGGAATCAATTATCGAACTTATACTTTGAGAAACTTTTTGCAACGAATACCAAAAATTTATGTTGCAGTAATCGAGGCTAAAGGAAAATATATTGATGAGTGCAAGCAGTTTTTAAAACTAATATATATATACACACACACGCGCATTTACACACACATACACACACACACACACATATATATATATATATATATATATATATATATAAACATACATAAAAATTATGTCACCTTGGATGACTTTAATTTGGTTTCATCAAACATGAGAACACCGGAGTTAAAAAAAAAAAAAAACAGTTGCGTAACTACACACGGAGCAATCCTTGAAAACGAATTGAGAAACAACCATAGGGGACTCAGGGAAAAATAATATAAAATGAAAATAAATATGAACTTTGGTAAATTTACCTATAACACGAAACACCTAATTCGGAAATTTAAAAAATTAAACAAAAATTGAGACAGAACATGTCCATATTATTTAACCAAGCATGTTTGAGAGAATTATTGCTGCCGAAATTCACCTTATTTAAATTATATATATATATATATATATATATATATATATATATATATATATTGTGTATTTAGGCAGCAATTTTTCATTGATGCATGTTTCATTAAATAATATAGACAAGTTTTGTCTATTTATTTTAACTAAGTTCCTTTCATATTGTCTGATAAGCTTAATAACATTATCATTGAAACCTAACCTGAACAAAATAAACTACGAAATCTCCACAAATATTCTTAAATGCCTATAATTGATAACAGAAGCCATTGGTTTATACCAACGGCTTTCCATATTTAATACTTCTCGTTTTCACTCTCGCGTGGTTATGTGTGACGTCACGAACTGCGATGCGATTTTCGCTTCCGCGTCTCGTATACACGAATCTGTCGTTGCTTTGAAATTTTTCATGCAACATAAACAGACTATTATTATTGTTTTGTCCATGTACTGTCTAATATACTGAAATGTAATTGTCATCTTTGACAATGGCATATGTAAGCCGAACGCTAAGATAGGATTAAAACATGTATCAATATGGTGATTTCCGTTCGTCTTTCAATGATAATGTTATTAAGCTTATCAGACAATATGAAAGGAACTTACTTAAATAGACAAAACTTGTCTATATTATTTAATGAAACATACATCAATATATATATATATATATATATATATATATATATATATATATATATATATATATATATATATATATATAGGCTGTCCGTTATTGCTGACGATGACGCTGTCCTTCCATCTCCGTTTGTCTTCTGTGGTCTGCCAAATGAGATAGCAGCCCGATCAGCGAACAAGTTCTCGGGCACAGGTTGCAGGGAAACATGCCCGGTGCGGAATTGGCAGGTTGCAGATGACGCTGGCGTCGTTAGCCCTCGTGCGCTCCTCGTCTCTCCTCCTCGAAGTGCTCCACTCCAGCGACGCAGAGAGACCGCCAGCCGATCCGGTCCCTTGCGAGGCTCTCCAGTTGTGTTGTTATTGTGTTACCATCATCAACTGTCCGTCGTATTCAACGAGATTCGTCTAGGCCAGGCGCTTTGAAAGACATGGCGGAGATTTATCCTGGTTGATGCTCGCTGGTATCTGGACAGCTTCGATGCTTCGATTGTTGCTACTCCAGTTTGAAGCATTCGGTGACATGCAGGATGGTTCGCACCCGCCTGTTTCTAATTGTTTACATCGATCTGCATCGCTTTCAGGTACCCCTCTAGATGCAGTCTTTACAGCGTAGACTCTGGCCGCCACACCGTCGCTTCCCGCAATTTAGTTCACTACACAGGGCGAATCGTCCAAACGATAGACGTGCCCAGCCCATCGTCGTTTCACTGCTGCTGGCATGGCTTCTACACCTGGCATGTTTTCTCTAAAAAGCATAGAGGGTGCGAACATCCCATGTTCGGATGGTCGCACCTTGTGTTGGTAGTTAGATTGTGCTAGTCGCGCCGGTCATTCAATTGCCACGCCCATCCTGGATTAAGTCAATGCGACGCGCGGCCGTTGTTCATCCGGGCCTTGTCCGATCTGACATGGTATCGCACTGATTTTTCTTCTTCATGATCCTTTCAATCTGCTTTCAGATAGCTTGTATAATATAGTTATTATATAGGAATAAAGTGTCACTACCGACACTTGAGTTTGAACATAGATCACCAGTGAGCAAACACGATCCCATTATTGAATTAAGTAGGCCACATGACCATAGAGGAAACGCATACATGCAGGAAGTAGCTGACGACTAACGATCGGCATTTCTAGTCTATCCTCTATTACTATTCGGATCACTATTTCTAATCTAGGAGGCACGATGGGGTAATGGATAGCAGCTCGGATTCAGGAATCGGAGAGCCGAGTTCGAATTCCAGTTGAATCAATTACAGTCACTTACGTGTTAATACACTTAGGAAAGGTATGTATCCTCTTCTCTCCCCCCCCCTCTAAGCTAAGGATAAGTAGCAGGACAGACAGGCTTTTTTTAGCTTTGAATGGCAACTGGTCTACTGCAGAAAAACATGGCAACCTACTGCGGGAAAAATCTGCCCCGTCAGTCATGTATCGAAAGATACATGATCGCCTAAGCGTGTATCACGCATGGCACATAACTGACTGATTTCTAGTCTATCCTCTATTACTATAAGGACCGCTATTCTCTACTCTATTCACTATACTATTTCTCTGTTCGGATCACTACTGCGATTACAAAGTCTCTACTACAACGAGCATTACGAAAGTGACAACGAGTATTCGTTGACATCAAAAAAGTGGCAACGAGTGTTCGTTGACATCACAAAAGAAACTTATGTAAGAGTTCTTTAAGTTTTCTTCCTAAGTCTCCTATAAATACAATGTCATTTTATCTTATGTGGGTTTATGATCGCAGATAAATAAATCCTGGTACCGGAAGACTTCGCTTCTGATTGTCTCGAAGAAGTTAAATAAATCCGATGAGTCTTTGCCTGACTGCGATTTTTTACCCATTTAAAGAACAATCTTCCCAAGAATACGATCCAAAACTAACTGTAAATATAGTGGAGTACCGACCATATAAATACATTTTGGTACCGTAATTTTGTGGGAAGAATTATTCCATGATTATCCAAGTTTCTGCCTGAAGCGATCCTATAAACACATTGTCATTTGTGGTCTTGTTAAGTTTATGATCCAAAACTAACTGTAAGGATTGTACTTCTTTTGATTGTTCGCTGTTTGTTTAAATAAATTTTGAGTCTTTTATTACTATTATTTTTTTTTACAGTTTCAACAATTACTAACAATAAATTTTATAGCAAAATGAACAATACATTTTACCTGTAGTTGAAGCTATAAAACTACGTTCAAATTTTTCATATCGGAATAAAATGTCGCTGCCGACACTTGAGTGTGAACATAGATCGCCAGTAAGCAAACACAGGCAATCCCATTATTGAATTAAGTAGACCCTGTGACCATAGAGGAAATGCATATATGTAAGGTAGCGTGTGTCTAAGTGATCGCCATTTCTAGTCTATCCTCTATTAATATACGGACCGCCATTCTCTATACTATTCACTATACTCTTTCTCTATTCGGATCAATATACGGTTTACTATTCGAGAGAGTATTATCGAGCAAGTGCTATTAGTGCCAATGATATTCGAAAGCGTCTGACATCAGTATTGTTCAACGGCTTTACTATAGTTTTATCTGTATTTATTTCTATGCTTGGTCGGCTCAGGAGATTTTTGTGGCCTAGCATATGTGCTGATTCCTTAAGTTTACGAATTTTCCAATGGTGTTCTTTGTTTATGATCTCAACATGATCCCACAGAGGGCGGTGATCTCCCTTCTCTCTCCATATGTGGTCAGCCACGCCTAATTTTTCTACTTCCCCTCGTGTTACAGCTTTCTGGTGTTCTTGAAGCCTTGCCTTGAGGGGGCGGCCTGTCTCTCCTTTATATTCCGAGCATAGAAATAAATACAATATGGGAACCAGTAATAAGGAGTGCCAGAGAAAAGCAATGATAACAAAGTTGCAATATGAACTCTGGTAAAGACATGCAATGATAACAGCAAAAATTGCAATATGAGCACTGGTAAAAATGATGCTGAAAACATTCGGTTTATAATACTCAGAAATTCATACCCAGATTTTCTCAAGGACACATGGCACAGTGGATAAAGGCGTTGGTTAAATCCAGTGACAGACCCAAAGAAGGTGAGTTCAATACCTGGTTAAGGCAGTGGAGAACTTTCACAGGGAAAATTAGCAGGAGATAACTGATAACTGACATCCATCAAACATGGCACGTGGAACTAGGACAGTCTACCCCAGTGATCGAAATAAAGGGTTCAGTTCGAAATTCCAACCAACTGAAGAAGCCCGGAGCGTACAACGGCCGAAACGTTGTGACAAATATGGCGACAAAGATGAGGACAATAATCCGACTAATGTAAATATTGTACATAATACCTCATCTCAGAAATATAGACAGACACAAAAATAGTATATATGAAATTTTGTTTTAGGCTTTTTTTAACCTTAGTATTTCATGAAAATTTATCTATAAAATTTCCTAAAAAAAAAAAAAAACTTCGCCAGAAACACAGAAAAGAGTGCTAAACATAGTGTTGTTTGGTAGTTGGGTATTCAAACGGTGAACCAGACCATGAGGAAGGCGGGAGTGTACAACAGTCGAAACGTTGTGATAACAACAACAAAGATGAGGATAATAGTCCAAATATAACTAATGTAAATAATGGTAGCAGGTTAAAGAGGTCAGGCTGTATTGTATTTCTTTCCTGAGATGGAGAAGTGTCTTTCTTAAGCTCATAAATCGAAAGGCGTGGAGAGCCATAATCGCCTACGTCCTGAGAGGACACGATACATAAAAAAGATTACATGAAACAATAAAAACATTGTTTGGAAACATTAATGATTGCTTTATTTGCTGATTTAAGCTTTGTTCTACCTTTGATAACACAAATATATAGATGTGGAAGCAGCTGGCAAGGCTATGTTCACGTAGGAGTTTTTTTCAGAGTTTTTGACATCTGTGGTTCGCGGTCGAGGCCTGATCCCAGCGGTACCAGATTAAAGAGTTCGGACTGTATTGTATTTCTTTCCTGGGGTGGAGAGGCGTCCTCACGGTATAAATCAAAAGGCGCTAATCGTAATCTGATTTTCAAAAGGGCAAGGGACAACGTCTACGTTTCTAATGAAATAAATCTACACCAGTGTTTGAATTGGGAAACTCTTTCAGATCAGGATAATGTATTGATTCCAATCGCACACATAACAAGTTCGTTTGGCAAACAATGAACGCCGGCCTTTCGCCGGGTAGCAAATTTAATAAAAATAAAAAAAGACAAAAAAGTTTATCTCAAGAGGAAACTTATAATATGCAGACAAATATCTATAGGCATCTTTTTTATTAGTTGAAACATTATTTTTTAATGGATAACCGTATTTGAATAGACGCTCTGTTTTACTTTAAGTAGTGGTCGCTGGACAGGGTTGTCCTTAAAAGGACATTTTTTGTGTCGCCGGAGAGCGTTGTCTTGAAAAGTAGAGTTTTTAGTCGCTGGAGAGCATTGACATGAAAAGTACAGTTTTATGTTCGCTGGAAAGCGTTGTTCTAAAAAGGATAGTTTTGTGGTCGCTAGAAAACGTTGTCTTGAAAAGGACAGTTTTGTGTTTGATGAAGCGTGTTATCCTATTGCATACCGTCGCTGCTGCTGCGGATGTTTGGTGCAGGAAGCCTGTTGGAGGTGGCCAGAGCGGCAAGAGCCTATGGCCTACTGGAGACGGCTGGAATGGCAGGACCTGATGGCCTATTGGAGATAGCTGGAGGGACAAAAGCTGATGGCCTACGATCGCTTGTTGGTATTTCCTCAGCTGGGTCTCTGTCTGCAGACACAGGCCACAACTTAATCACACTTTACCCGATGACAGAGACGCAACTGAGAGATGATAAGCATCCCTAGGCTGGGCCGCGGAATGCTTCTTTCTTTCTTTCTTTTTTTTTTCGTTGCTATGGAGCCTATTTATATCCTTCATCAGTCTTACAAGAACGCTGGTAAAGCTTTTTCTTCTGGTTGTCTTTAAAAAATGTGGGAGTGCCAACAAGATAAGTCAAGGTCCGCCTCCTTGGTAATTGTTACGACGTTCTTCTGTAGAAGCACATCTCCATTATCTCATGTCTCTTCTTCACCTGTGAGGACATTGTCCAGTACTCAAAATCATATAGGAAAGGGATACTACATTGCAATTCAGTGATCTTTTGTTTATAACGAAATTTGTATGTTTCTTAATAATTTGCTTAGCTTATGAAAAGCATCTTTCGTTATTCCAATGAGCCTTAGTATTTCGCTGTCATATTTTTCGTTTTTCGTTGAAAAACTTCCAAGATAATCAAATTCCAGTACTGGAGTGATTTTGACATTACCAATTTATAGCTCGCAATTTGGGCGATCCAACGTTCCTGATAACCATAGATTCTACCTTCTTACAGCTGATAGTTAGTCCTTTCTTCTCACTTTCCTTTACTACCTTGTCTAGAAGGTCCTTTAGTTTTCTTTCTGTGTCTGCTAGCAACACAGTGCCGTCTGCGTATTTTATGTTGTTGTGTCCAGCAAAAGTAAATCCCGGTAGGACTTCTAATTCTCTTAGGATAGCCTCCCTTCTTTGGTTGACTAAATCCGGCAAGAAGATACACCCTTGTCTTATGCTCTTTTCTATTTCTCTTTACGCCTTTTCTATTTCTATGCTGGCGGTTTGCTCCCAGTATATATTCTGGATTATTCTAAAATTCTTTCCCAGATAAATCAAGTTTTCCTAACAGTTCAAATATATCTTTGTGTCGTAACTTATCAAATACTTTGTGTAGCTTATAAAACATAGGTATGATAGGATAAGGAACAAATAGAAAAAGTTTATAAATATAACATGTTTCGATTTTATTCAGGCTTCATCAGATTTTTCTTGTTTTTTTTTTTTTGTTTTTTTGCAGGGGTGAATTAGGGAAGAGAAAGTTCCGATACATTTTGTTCACTATTTACATTATTCGGATTATTATCCCCATCTTTGTTGCCATATTTATCACATTTTGGCCGTTGTACGCTCCGGCCTTCTTCAGGTGGTTGGAATGTCGAACTGAACCTTTTATTTCTCTCGCTGGGGTAGACTGTTCTAGTTCCACATGCCATGTCTAATGGATGTCAGTTATCAGTTATCTCCTGTTAATTCACCTCTCCAAGTTTTCCACTGCCGTAACCAGGTATTGAACTCACAACTCTTTGGGTCCTGTCATTGGATCTAAACAACGCCTTTTATCCGCTGTGACTTAAAGACATCTGTGTATGAATTTCTGGGACATAAACTTAATGTCTTCAGCAACCATTTTTGCCAATGCTCATATTGCAATGTTTTGCTGTTATCATTATTTTTATTTTTTTACCAGAGCTCATATTGCAACTTTTGTTGTTATTATTGCTTTTCTCTGGCACTCCTTATTACTGGTTCCCATATTGTATTCATTTCTATGCTTGGTCAGCTCAAGAGATTTTTGTGACCTAGCATATGTGCTGATTCCTTAAGTTTACGAACTGGTTTCATTAAGGACACTGGAACAAAATTGCATCTGCTCACAACGCACTGAGCATCCATTCATCGAACAATCTCCATATTCACCTGATCACGTGACTATTTTCTTTTCCCCAAGCTCAATGGGACCATCAAGAGGACCCGTTTTGAAGGCGTGGATGCCATCAACAGGGCCGTAACGACGGGACTGAGGGGCATCCAGGAAGAATCCGTCAAGCAGCGCATAGAAGCGTGGCAGTGAAGGATGGAAAAGTGCATTAGACTCGAAGGGGGTCACTTTGAAGGGAAAACCATGTAGTTTGTTACTTGGAATTGAAATCAATCCCGTTACTTTCAGACAGAACCCGTATACTTATGTTTATCTACATACATAGGAGAGACCTACGTTGTGACAAGTGGCCGAATTAGCCCTTAACACGCAGAAATAAAACAGGCCATAAATTCGTGTTAATACTTTAGCAGACTATTACTTTTAGAGGGAATTATATCTCAGCTGCGAGTTCCGCAGGTTGACCTTCGAGGCCAGATGCAAGTCAAAATAAGGAAGTCAATTTTGATTGGTTGAGCCTCCCTCCACTGGATAGTTAGTACATGTCGACATGAATATTAATAAAAATATAACATTATTTGTGTCTGACGTCCATTCATCCCTGACTCAAAACATTTAACGACCTCCGAATGAGCGAGAAGAAGAGAGAGAAGATATACAACATTCGATGTATAAAAACGTCACCTAATAAGTAAAGAACATGCTTTACTAGAAAGAAAATATTTAGAGGGGCTACTAATAAACACGTGCCCGTCGATAAGCACACATCAAACACACTTTACACTTGATGTAACCTAAGTCTCTCACTCCCACACCAAACATTCCCCAATCAACACACGGTCACTACCAGACAGAAACAAAAATGCACGCGAGATGCACACATGCACACATGCACACACATTATCATTCAAATTCCGCAAGACCAACTAGGAATATGACTCGCCAACATCCCACTACGATCTTGAGGAATTATACTCACGAACATTATCAGACATAAAAATGTCCACTAGAACCCAAACGTACACACACACACACACACACACACACACACACATTAACACCTCAGGACAAAGACATATGAGATCTACCTAATAAAAAACATTCAACACAGAACTAAATGTAGCTGTCTATATTTCTGAGATGACGTATTATGTGCACTATTTACATTATTCGGACTATTGTCCTCATGTTTGTTGCCATATTTATCACACCGTTTCGGCCGTTGTACGCTCCGGCCTTCTTCAGGTAGTTGGAATATCCTTTTATTTCGCTCACTGGGGTAGACTGTTCTAGTTCCACGTGCCATGTCTAAATGATGTCAGTTATCAGTTATCTCCTGTTAATTGTCCTCTCCACCGCCATAACCAGGTATTGAACTCACAACTCTTTGGGTCCTGTCACTGAATCTAACCAAGGCCTTTTATCCACTGTGCCATGTGTCCTTAAGGACATCTCTGTATGAATTTAATTTAAACGAGCTTTACACCGACGCGGAGGTGGATTCCAAGATAAGTTACATAATATGCGTTTTTGATTTCTCCTTTGGATTCTGGAGTTTTCTTTTAATCCGCCGAGATGAAATGTCTTCGGTACAAAGAAAGCATAATAAGACTTTTGTGGAATGTTGCAACACAAAAGAGGCGATGACGTCACGAAACGATCGACATTGTGTAAAATGTATTTAGGGTTTCAGTATATAAAAAAAAATTCACTTTGGTGCAAAAATTGCCAACTTAAATGCTGCATGACTTTTCGGTTTTCTTCCTCGATATTTCACCGTCTGGTCACCATGACAACTCGTCAGTGTTGCCATGGAAGCCAGGAAGATTCCTGATATCAGAAGTTAGAAAAGCTATATTAACACGAATTCAGGCCAGGTCAGTCGATATCTCGTGTCAGGAAAACTTATACGCGTTTCCAAATTTCTTCCACTGCAGTATTTACAGAACTACCTACTTCATCTACCATTATATATATATATATATATATATATATATCCATGTGTCTCTCTTTTGAGAGGAAAACGTGAGTTGGTAAATACGGCAAAATGTAGACACATTCAGTTGTTATTTAAAACATATTCCTCTTCCCTCTCATTTTCACCACTCGTCTCTCTCTCTCTCTCTCTCTCTCATCTCTTTTCTTTCATTTCCTTTCTCTCTCTCTCTCTCTCTCTCTCTCTCTCTCTCTCTTTCTATCTTTTATTGCTTTCCTATAATTGTGACTCTCGCCCACTCCCTCTATATTCTTTTCCTTTTCTTATTTGTTTTTCCCGTTCTCTATTTCTTCCAATCCTCTTTTTTCTCGCTTTCCCTCCCACTCTCTCCGTGGAATTTTCTTCTTGTCTTTCCTTCGCCTCCCCACTTCACTCCTTCCCTCACCCTTCCTCTACTTAATTTTCTCTTTTCCTCACACTTGCCCTCTTCTCTTGCCGTTCCTCTTTCTCCGTTGTGTAATCTCTTACTCTTTCTTTCCCTGCGCGTTTTGCGTCTTTTCATTGATCTCTCTCTCTCTCTCTCTCTAACACACACACACACACACACACTTTATCCCTCACACACTCACACACACACACACACATCTCTCTCTCTCTCTTCACAAACACACACACACAAACACACAACCGGACTGTGCCACACCTTTTTTCTCTATCCTGCCCGTTTCTCATTTTCTTGCCCTCACAATGTCTCTCACTTTTTTCTCTTTTTATCACCCTATCTTTTTTCTCTCATTGTCTCTCTTTTTCTCCATTCTTCACGCGTTTCTTCTCTCTCTCTATTTCTCTCTCTCTCTCTCTCACCGTTCCTCTTTTTTCTCCTATTCTCTTTAATTTCTCTCGCCCTTTCTTTTTCTTTCTCTTTCCCTCACAATGTATCTCTTTTTTTTCTCTCTTTCCCACGCCCTATCTATCTTTCTCTTTTCCTCGTCATCTTTCTTTTCTCTCTCTTTCCCTCGCCGTCTCTCTTTTCTCTCACTCCTTAGTGTTTCTTCTCTCTCTCTCTCTCTCTCTCTCTCTCTCACCGTTCCTCTTTTTTCTCCCATTATCTTTAATATCTCTCACCCTTTCTCTCTCTCTTTCTCTTTACCTCCCCTATCTTTTTTTCTTTTTCTCTTTTACTCGCCGTCTTTCTTTTTCTTTACCTCACCATCTCTCTTTTCTCTCTCTCCCTCGCGTTTCTTCTCTTTCTCTCACTCTTTCTCTCTCCTCTCTCCTATTCTCTTTATTCCCCCTCTCTCGCCCTCTCTCACTCTCTCTTTCCCTCTCTGTGTAGCAGGTCCTTCTTTTCACTGCCTTAAGCGAGATTACGATTACAGAAAGACACGGAAATAGTAATTTACGCCAACATATTTTTCTTTACGTTTCTTTCTTTCTTTCTTTGTCTCTCTCTCTCTCTCTCTCTCTCTCTCTCTCTCTCTCTCTCTCTTTTCTCCTTTTATCTTTAATCTCTGTCACACTTTCTCTTTCCCTCCCCTATCTTTTTCTTTTCCTCGCCGTCTTTCTTTTCTCTCACTTCCCTCGTGCCATCATTATCAGTTCTATTCAGCTGTGCCTTTTCCAAGCGGTCAATCATCGGGGAACCAAATGGACTTCAATTAAGTGTTTATAATTTAAACAAGTACACGAAAACAGAAACGACAGGGAGCTGTGGGTCCCATCGGGATTTATTACGGATGAGCACATCATCAACAGTGTAAGATATGCAGATGACACTGTATTGAAGGCAGCCTTAAAAAATTAAGAGACGATTCCAAGTAAAGCTCTAGAAAACACGCAGTTTGTACCACTGACTGGAGGAGAGAAACGTTCAACTTACATTACCATTGACCACAACCTGTTATTGAAACAGTTTTTAGCAAAGTATATGTTGGCGATATCTTGTGGGTAAATAGTTAATTTTTCTTATGCAGGTCATCAAAATGTTGTAAGGGATTCGCTCATATTATAGCAGCAGAAATGAGCCTTGTGTTCACGGAGATAAAAGCATATTTGACATGAAATAAAACGTACAGAAATAACAGGTAAAGCATGGCAAATTGTAGGTTAATTTCATACAACTTATTTGTATCTTTCTGTGTATTGATCTATGCATTTTTTAGGTTACAATTGTTTTATGGTACATGTGATAAAAGGGTGAATTTACTCCATGTTATTCCAAGCCATTTCGCAAAGAGGTCGGACACGTGTTGCCCGTACCAAGGTTCGTTGCGAAGAGATTGAATTTAACGTCTTTTGGCGGGATGTTCGTATTTCCGAAAGGAAGAGTTTTTATTGCATGCTCGGAGAATTTTTATTTTAAATTTTTATCTAATTTACTTTATACAATATATTTATGTTATTATTTTATATTATTTATAATTTTCATTATTATTATTTCATATTTTATTTTTATTTATGTATAATAATAATGTTACTATAATCTAACAATTAGTTAACAAATTAGATCTAATACTTGTAATCAATTCTTCCTTCTTGAATAGAAAGCAGAAAAATGTTTCTTGGAGAAATCATTCAGAACCATGTTTTCTTTCGTCTATCTCGCTTCATTTTTTAACTTTCATCTGCTTTTCTCTCCATTTGATTTTCTCTACGTTTCTTACTTTACTCATAATTTTTCTTCTCTCCATTCTCTTGATGTTTCCATTTCTCTTGTAGCATAGAAATGAGATAATAATAATAATAATAATAATAATAGTGGCTAGAATGTTCCCAAAGAAATTGATTGGAATATATTAGACTACCTCTGTCCCATAATGGTTGGTACCAACTATTATGGGACAGATGTAGTAATAAATAATTCCAATCCCAAATTGGAAGGATTGCTGCTAGTTCTAAGCTGGTTCTCTTTAATCCTGATATGCTACAGTGTTCCCATAGAAATTGATTGCAATATATTAGACTACCTCTGTCCCATAATGTTTGGTACATTTAGTGTATGAAATGTGTATGCAAATGTACCAATTACTATGGGACAGAGGTAGTCATAAATAATTCCAATCCAATCTTTTTTTATATTTATTTGTATTGCGCGATTCTGTTATTCCTTAAACTCTATTAATGTTTGCATTCCATCTTTTGTCTATTCCTTTATTCTTTACATCCATTACATCTTTTATTCTATAAATCTTTTATTCTTTAATCTCTTTTGTTCTTTACATTCTTTAGATCCCGTTCTTACGTTATTTCTTACTCCTAAATCGTGCATTGACGCTATAAATATTTTAATAAACGATGAACTGATTGTTTGCTGAAAGGGGGACTCCTTAATATCATCTATACATGACATTTAACTTTGTCATTCCCGCAGGTTATCTCAATTCAACTAACATCAAAATCTCTGTGTAATTAGGAAGCCAGTTCAAATTCTCACTGCATACCAAGTATTAATTCAGTCGATGGAAAGCGCCTCCTGTTGGCAGAAGATATAAATGGGTAATAATTATTGTACAGTTTCCCGGATTTTAGATATAATCATAGTGTTTGGGTGATCTTAACCCCTATTTATAAAAATAAAAAAATTTTTCAATGTGCCGTCCTGGGTATGACGATAAACTACACCCGGCAGCAAGAGATTTTAAGGAGCTTCGAACCACCTTTCTGTTGTTCCCAGGTCCATGCTGATTCGGTGTGGTAGCACCTGTTAGAACCCCAATAATGGACCCTCAAACAAAAACAAAGTACTATTAAAGTATAAAAATAAATTTATATAACAAAAATTCCAGCAATACATATTGATATGAAAAAATGCCAACAATGGTTATTTATAGTAAAATTACCTACAATACAATTTTAAAGCAAAATAACTAGCAATTATGGTATTGACTTGGTGCATAATTATCAGGCGTTTTTGTAGGCGAGTTATTTGTTAATAAAGATTGTTGTTTTGTTTACTTTTTTCATAAAAATATTTTATTTTCAGATTATAAAATTGCGTGTCGATTATCATACGCTCCGGAAAAATCATTTAAAAATGTAGTTGTTGAATTATTATGTTTCTTTCTTCATAATAAATATTGTTTAAAAAAAACGCCTGATAATTATGCACCAACCCAATAGACTTACCACCAATACATTTTATCTGTAGTTGAAGGCATAAATTGTGTTCAGAGTATTTAGATCTTGGCATTAATTAACTCATAGAAGATGAAATCCCCCCCCCAAAAAAAATCAACCAATCAATTGTTCACACCGGTGTGCACCAAAAATTTAAAAAAAAGCCCGTTTCACGATCACAGAACACAGTGAGAAATGACACCTCGAACCCTGTTTCCAATATATTTAGGTACTTTATTCAGGTCTTCGCTTACTCAGTCGTTAAGTGGCGGTCTATTCAGGACTATAAAAGAAAGGATAATACTCTCTCTTTCTCTCATTCTCCCCTCTCCCTCCCTCTCCCTCTCTCTCTCTCTCTCTCTCTCTCTCTCTCTCTCTCTCAGCTCTCACACACAGGATGGTTAGGTATAAGGCGTTGTCCAGTCTTCTTTCAATGGGACACTTCGACTACTTAAAGGGTGGCACTTGGAACAGACAACTTCTGCTATGTCGCATTAGCAGCTCAGTTTTCCCAATCGACTCTTTCTACTACCCACTCGCTTCCCATCACAATATCACAACGTTTAGCTGACAACACGAACACGAGGGCCAAATATAACTCTTAATATAGGTCATTATCCGGAAATCAGCAATATCCGGCTTGCCGTCGCTTGATCCCGAAAGATCACATTTATGTCCTTTGGTTCTCCTTCGGTCAAGTTGGGTGCCACCTAGAAGACCCGACTTCAAAGACCCCATTTGTCGGCCATAAAACAAAACCACTTGAGATCTTAATATAAAATCACGTGGCGGTCAAGGAATCAACATTAAGTCAAAGTGGGATTCAAGATTTGGCAAGAAAATTGCCATTTATGTTCATGTGTCAATCACACACCAGATCTCGTTGGAGAAATCGCTTTAGCAGTCAGCATTTCTACGAGCTGACTAAGGACGCGCAATCGGTCGAAATGTTCAACTGTCTTGGTATTATCGTAATTGCAGACTATGGACACAATCAAAGCTCTTCAATTAAAGAACGCGATGAATGACTTTTCCAGCAAGTATCGATAGCCACCTTTACTGGAAACAATCTCCAAGCTGGTCTCTTTTATATCGTAGATAAACAGGTGTTTAGTGAATAACGAAAATGAATCAAGGGCAGTGCCACCGAGAGCAGGACAGAACACAATATTCGAAAGTTTTATGCTGCAGACAACGAAACTGAACTAAAATTAGGACATTCAGAACAAAAGAATTTATAATTTACATCATTTACAATCCACCTAAGATATTCTTTCTTTGTTTTCTGTCACGACGTTCCGTTTCATTTTGATCTCCAGACTTCTTAAGGCAACTTGTGGGATTACCTCACATTGTCTACCTGTGAACTTCGCTCAACGTGCACTGGGTGGCATTCAATTCAAGACAATAAAAGGAAAGATAATTCTCTCTCTCTCTCTCTCTCTCTCTCTCTCCCTGTATATATATATATATATATATATAACAGTACAGTGTATGTGTGTGTGTGTGTGTGTGTGTGTGTGTGTGTGTGTGTGTGTGTGTGTGTGTGTGTGTGTGTGTCCAAGCAACTCCATCGCTCCACTGGTCCGATTTCAATGATTCGTAGCTCATTCAAAAGCCCTAGAAGTTAGACGCAGGGAACGATTTTCGTTGAGCTCACATTCAGGGTTGCCAGATTATGCGAGGTTAAAATATATATTAATATATTATACTGGCCATTATCGTTGATTTCATGATTCAAGAGGAGTACCTTTTATTTTCCTTTAGTAACCAAAATTGCAGCGTGTTTAAAATTTTAAGCTAGCTTAAAGGGAGTCCTATCGGGCGGCATTTAAGCTAACTCCTTTAGGGGACTCTTGCTTTGGCCATCATCACAATAGCTAGGGAGGAGTAAATGTGATAGGCATCAATAAACTACAGAAGAACTCAAAATTAATCGCTGCATTTAAGTATTGAATTAATGTTTATGCTTACCTTTTAAAAGTTCAACGATAATTCTTTTGCTGAAACTTAATTTAAAGACGATTTGGTGTACGTAGATCCTTATTTTCCGTACAAACAATTATTTTTATTTTATGGGTGACAGAACAGAGGACAATTTATAAGATAAAATTAATATAGTGTAAAGATCGGAAAATAGAAATTAGAATTAATTATACATTCAACATTTGAAGAGTTAGAGAAACATAATAGCTAGTTAAGTAAAACCTATATTAGGGAATCTATATGAATAAATACGAAATTGAAGCTCAATTCTCTCACGTTTTTTAGTAATTTAAACACGGTATTTACTCTGTCTTCCACTGAGACGAGATATGACACAAAGCCTTTTTTTAAGGTGGAGACCCGAGCGCGAACACTCGGCCAAGGAACAAAAATTCCCCTCAGCCACCGCAACCGTCGGTTGCGCTGGCCTCGCTGCGAGCACAGACCCGTCTTTCTGGCGCAATGAGAGGGCGCGGCCTCGGGCAGCTGTTCCCCAGGGCTGGGCAGCTCTCAGTATTATTTTCCTCAGTTTCCCCTCTGTCCTTTGATAGAGTAGCCCCTGAGTGCACTCCACTCAAAGACAGAGACGCAACTGAAAGATGATAAGTAATGTGTTAGAAACTCCTCCAATGAGGAATTTACAAACGGTATTTACTTGATCCCCTCCACCACCACCACTGAGGTTTTGACAAAAGATCGGTTTTTAACGTGGGGGACCCGAATGAAGCCACTCGGGCCGCTGGTCTTAGCTGGTCATAGCTTGTCCAATCTGGTCAGAGCTAGTCTTAGCTGGTCCTTGCTGGTCAGAGCCAGTCCAAGTTAGTCATAGCTGTGATACTACCAGCTCTGGGACGGATCCCTGTAACCGGTAAGTATCCGAATGTGTATACCTCTCAAGACTTGACACCCCACGGAGTCGAGTTGTGACACAAGATCGGTTTTTAACGTGGGGAGCCGAGTGAAGACACTCAGGCCACTGGTCTTAGCTAGCCATAGCTTGTCCAAGCTGGTCAGAGCTGGTCTAAGCTCGTCTTAGCTGGTCATTGGTGGTCATAGCTGTATAACATGACCACCTGTTATACTACCAACGCAGGTACGTATCTCTGTGACCGGTAAGTATCCGAATGTGTATACCCCTCAAGAGAGTGGTTGATTTACTTGACTCCCCACTGAGTCAGGTTGTGACACAAGGTCGGTTTTTAACGTGGGGACCCGAGTGCCTTCACTCGGGCCGCTGGTCTTATCTGGTCTTAGCTGGTTATAGCTTGTCTAAGCTGATCAGAGTTGGTCTAAGCTAGTCATAGCTAGTTTATCTGGTCCAAGCTTGTCAGCCAGTCCAAGCTAGTCATAGCTGTGATACTACCAACACAGGAACTGATCCCTTTGACTGGTAAGGATATTTACTTACCCCCCCCCACTGAGTCAGGTTGTGACACAAGGTCAGTTTTTAACGTGTGGACCCGAGTGTTTTCACTCGGGTCGCTGGTCTAAGTTGGTCTTAGCTGGTCATAGCTTGTCAGAGCCGGTCCAAGCTAGTCGTAGCCGTGAAACCACCATCACAGGGACGGAGCCCTGGGGCAGGGAAGTATCAGAATATATATACCCATCAAGAGAGAGATTTACACACTAAAAGCTCAATATCTGTATTATATATTATTTACTTCTAGGCAATATCACTTTTCAGGTTTAAATAATTTGCATATAGTACAGAAAACTGTTTGATATTTGCATTTTATTTGGCCTTCAACAAGTTGGCATCTATTTTTAAAACTACCATTAACAAGCCAATTTATGAATGAAATATTCATTAAAAATTTTTGTTTCAAAGATATCAAGCAGTGAATATATCTTACTTTACGAAGCGATAGCGAGCAGTTTGTGCTATATATATATATATATATATATATATATATATATATATATATATATATATATATTATAAATTAATTGATTTAAAATATGTTTTTTCGCTACACAGTTCTAACCCTGTTTGTAAAATAAAATTATCTATAAGAACACCGGATTATATATCTTACTGTTCTTTTTTTTTTTATATATATATATATATATATATATATATATATATATATATATATATATATGTCTAACTATCTCTCTTAGTTCTCATCCATAGGATGCGGTAGGTATAAAACGTTTTCCAGTCTTACCTCGAGGTGACACTCCCACTACTTAAAGGGTGACACTTGGAACAATTATGGGACTACTTAATTTCAACCCAACCACGTGGCACATGCACACACACACACACACATACATACACACATACATAAATACATACATACATATACGTAACCTATAGCTAAGTACTCTTTTTTAGCTATCAGTAGACACGTAAATATATTTTTTTTTCTTTATTTGTGAGTTATGTTGTTCTTTGTTTGCATAAAATCGTTCTGGAGTTGAATTCATTTATTTTGAAAGCTCTCACACGCATCCTTAACATCGTCCGCTACAATCTTCTAAATAGTTTTGAGTAGCTACACGATTCATTTTCTATCCGTATGCAGGAGGTTTGTTCTGGATTATTCTCACATCTTTTCCACATAGATCAAGTTTTCCTAGCAGTTCAAATATGCCCCTGTGTCGTAACTTGTCAAGTGCTTTTGCGTGATCTATAAAACATAAGTGCACATCCTTCTTCATTTGTATTACTCTGTCTGTCTGTCTCTCTCTCTCTCTCTCTCTCTTTCTGTGTCTGTGGGTGTGTGTGTGTGTCTCTCTCTCTCTCTGTCTCTCTCTGTGTCTCTGACTCTCTCTCTCTCTCTCTCTCTCTCTCTCTCTCTCTCTATCTCTCTCACACACACACACATCATGAATATCGCATTTATTGTTCCAGTGTCCTTGCCGCACGGTTCTAGTTAAATTTCTGGTTTAATTCTGCTTCAGGATTCGCTTCATTAGTTGGTTATGTGGCTCATTCAAATGATTATCCTATGGAGGTCGCATTCATTAATTTGCATCTGATCTCTTAGGTATTGTCTGACACGTATAAAATAAAACAAAATATTTTGATCTGATATCACATTTATACAGCGCGTCATAGTAAATGGTTACTCACGTATTACACTCACTAATATCACAACTTCAGTATTAATCTATGACATTTTTTAAAATCATTTCACCTCAAGAAAGACAATAGAGTCACTAAAACCCAAATGATTACTGAGGTTTAGGGAATATCAGAAAAATAGGCTATTAAGGAGAAAGGACAATAAAAGGGCAAGAATTAAGAAAACAAAAGATAGCGATTGACATCGCCTTTAATTTTTGAAGATCACATTTGACAGGGAAGTAAAAAGCCGAAAGAGAGTTTCACAAGCGAGAAGTAAGAGAGAAGAAACTGTTAGCATAGAACTTACGGTAACATCTAGCAATTCAACTGTAAAATGATGGGACCTTACTGCCAATCTAGTACTGCGCTTAAATTCATAAATTCTAGGTACCGTAG